TCTGACGTCAGAGAAAAATATGGAAAACACGGAGTCATATGGAAAACACGGAGTCCACCATAAAATATGGAAAACACGGAGTCTGACGTCAGAGAAAAATATGGAAACACGGAGTCTGACGTATTGTCAGCGTGAAATATGGAAAATAGTAATTAAATAATATATCATTTATGCGAAATATATTAACGAATTGGAAATTTTCTGCACTAATTCTGCTATTTCTCTAAAATGTCGTGAAAATATGGATTATTTATTTTTAAATACAATCAAGCAAATAATATTGTTTCTCTTGTCGTGTGACTTGTTCAGTTGTACAATAATTTGAAGTGATTTTAATGCGGATTTTGTTCACCTCGCATGGTATGTTGATAAAAATATAGTTTATATACTTAATACTGCTAGAATATTTCATAGTCGATTTACATGTAATATTATACCTCAAATTTAAATTGTCCAATCAGGAAGCTAGATTTGTACCACGTGAGCATGAAATTTATCATCGTATCGCGCTTACGTCATTCGTATTTGGTGCAGCAGGAAATTTCAGTCATATTCACCGGTGAATATGAGTCAAATCATAGTGGTCAAATTCACCGGTGAATATGATTCGCGTAGACCACGCGAGACAACACGCATGACAACAACATGGCCGACAAAGTATAATAGTGATGAATAATCTGGGTAAATGACTGTAAAACCTGGGGCTTTTTCAAATGTTGTCATTAATATTCCAAACGATATGTGATTCGAAAGAAAAGCGACGATACTTGCGTTAATCCGAAACTAAAACATCGTATTCACGAAGGTATGTGTCAAGTTTTTATTTCTCAACTTGGAGGCTTTTAATTTTCGGTATAATATATTCGCCCTCGGGAAATATCATCACTTCGGGAAGTATTTCGCCGAATCCCCCTCGCTCCGGGTCTATAAATGATAAATATTTATAACACACAAAATCTTGACACAAAACAGATATGCTGCTTGGAAACAGCGTGCAATATTGTTATTTACTAATAAATAGATGCAGCCAGCCAACACACAAATCCGTGCAGTATATTAATGGCATTAAAAAAGTTTTCAGGTGTCCAAAAAAAAACCTGCACTATAGTGGTAAGCCCATACCAAGTTAATATCTCTAACATATAAGTTTTAGGTTTTTATACTGAATTAAATATCATGCAATATCATAATTAAGTTGCAATTAATCAAGCCATTGATATTTGAGTGATCAAGATAGGTATTCATAACTGACCATTTGTTCCAGGCTTAATTGCATGATACCATTGTAAAATCGTCTGGCGTTAGGCAGAATAAAATATAAAGTAGGGTACATCTGGGTACATATATTGTCACTTATAATTAAAGGGTTAATACAGAAATTTTGTATTTCATAAAGTATTACAATGCTTTGAAAGGGATAATTTTAAGTGAAACCCACCTGTTGTGGACTTAAAAGTAAAATTGTGAACTGATGATGCAGAACCACTGGTAGCTAGGGATTGTGGGGCACTAAATTTACTGTTTTCGTAGATTTTTGTCCAAGCAATTAAGTTATAAAGAACAGAATAATAGTGTTGCCACATTCATGTAGTTATAGGCAAATGGTTGATTTGTCAAATATCAATTATGGATTGTTTCATTATAAATACTGGAATGCTCATACTGGATGGTTGTACAATAAGCAAAATTTGCCTTATGGCCTGTTTATATGGAAGCCAGGCTGGCCCGCTTAGTAAGCGGGATGAATTTCTCTCATGTTTATATGAGAATTTTGTTACATTGTATTGTTTTGACAGTTGTTAAAAATAGCTTGCTGCGGTATTTTTGAACTTTCATCACGGCAACCAGCCTAGCCTGCTTGTGAGTGTTTATATGGAGAAATTTCCATCCCGGTAGCGAGATCTCACCTCTTTCAAGCGAGTCCATATAAATGCACAATAATTTTTACTATAAAAATAACTACACAGCGAGATCTCGCTTACCGGGCTGTCTCGCTTAGCGGGCCAGCCCGGCTTCCATATAAACAGACCCTTAGTGAATTTAGTAAGCCAGTATCTAGGCTGGCTTGCATTACATATAAAACATCCCCTATAATCCTACAATAGTTGGAAAAAATTAAGAAGTAAAACAAATCTAGAATGAAATATATTTCCCTTCAATATATGCAATTTGTAGTTAGTTGTATATATAGGCACAAAAATTAATGGCTGAAATAGTTTAAAATTCATTGTGTTGACATGAAAATATTCTGTTTTTTGTAGCCATAGGTGTTAATTTAAACCATGAGATGCTCAATCGTATGAACTATGAATGCAGATTTGCAGTACGGGTGTAGTGGCATAGACTTGTATGTCACTATGAATCTATGTAAGATATATTGAGCATTAATTGCATGGTTTAAATTAACACCTATGGCTACAAAAACAGTTGGTAGAATATTTTCATGTCAACACAATGGGTCGTTCCAGAAAAGATCCACACTCCCCCCACAGAGAAAATTTCTGCTGTCCGGAGGGGGAGGGGAGACAAAATTGTTTCTGGTAATAGTAAATGTATTAGGAC